CAATAATCCGAGCATATAGTCGAAGTCTTTGACGGCACAAACAAACGCTTTGCGCAATTGCGCGTACAAAATCAACCCATACTTTTCTTCGTCTTTTAGCTTCCGCGTGTTCGTCATTGAAGTATGGAATATTGTGTAGACTTATTCCATCTTTTAAACATGCTTTATTGGTACAGTTAGCTGCAACACAGTAAAAAGGCATATCTTTTTCGATCACAAATCTACCTATATATCCGCCGAGAGTTGACAGTGCAGTCAGTGCTAGTATAGTCGAATAATAGAATATACGCCGACTCACTTGCGTGACGTAACAAAAATCGCTCGTTCCAGTTTCCTTCGAACACGGACGCCTGCCAACCAAAAGCCCAAATTTTGCGTCTTCAAATGGCTCAAAAAATTTTTCGTTTTGATGAAATCGAAAAATTCTTTCGCTAGAACACTATACTAAACAAGACGCCGACTCGGCGTTAACCTCGGGTCGGTGGATAAGGCATCGTCTGGTAAATATGCAAAAATAGTGTAAATCACGATAGTTTAATAGTTCACTAGTATAAATGGTGAATCAGTCAATCAAAGCTCCGTTTTAACATTTTATTGATAATAATTGCCCATGGGTAAATGTTTATACAGCATTATTAAAAATAATGCCAGCATATGCACACAGAATTATTAGCAATAATGCATGTTCGTCACGCTGACATGTACACGCGATAACGTGAACATCTCAAGATGAGAAGGTGACAGTGCTAAAGGCCCCTCGTGCGGTATCATCGGGTGCCTGAAGCACTGCCAAAAACAGCACCTTGAGTCCTTTCAGTTCAATTTTATAGAGAAAGAGTTTCGTTTGCGCTTGTGGGATTTTATCCTAGATATACGCATGTGCGGAACACACCATAAGTTATATTCCCGTGTTTATCCAGTTTAATACGCTCTTTGAATTAACCTTATCATTAATGATAATATGTAAACTAGAACACTGTAATTGACCTCCGCTAGTTCCGCTTGTGGAGATTTTAATTTAGGGCGATGAATTAAACTGAAATCTGTTCTATCACGATGCACTACAGTGCCTATGGTTATGTCTATATGCATGTCCTCACATATGTCTAGTGTAACGTTGGATAGGTTCATTGTCATACGGTCCCGACAAGCAGCAACGTACAGTAGTCTTCCAGGCATAAATAATTACTTTTGATTAGGCTCAGTAATTATAATAGATAATTACTTCGGCCAACTGGCATTATTGGATATATTGCAGCCAGCTTCGGCGTTCGGCCTCCGGCCTCAGGTGGCTGCAATATATCCAATAATGCCGTTGGCCTCAATAATTATCTAATAAATAGTTAAATACAGGAACAATTTAGAGAATTTACTGACGCAATTATTTAACTCTATTTATTTATTATTTGGGATATTTTGTGGACGAGTGAATGATATACATAGCTAGCTTTGTTGATTGCACATAGCAGAATGACAGTCACTTCAGATATTTATAAAATATATCAAAGTACCGAAAATATAATTAGGTGCATATAACTGATCCATCATTAGTAATAGTTGTACTACAGTCGAAGAATGTGATAAGTGGACAATTGGCAAAATTGCTGTCTGCCAGTTTAATACAGTAAGAACCATACATAAAATGCTTAGCAGTATCAAATAAGTGAAACTTGGCCGCGGTATTCCCATGCTATGCATACGATGTATTGTACATTATATCAACATATACTCGAGAATAGTTATCCAGCTAAACATGTATGTCAAAATTATCACATCTTCTGGTTTTAAATCAACAATTCTGACGGATTTTGTGCAAGGACAGCTTCGGGTTCCGTTTCGCTTTGGCCGATGCTTGCTGGAAATACACTTATTTACCGGAAGTTGTCGTCTCCTCCGCAGGCCCTTCGATCTTCGACTACGCGCGCGGCTCGACACAAATGGGAAAAAAAAAACAAGAAAAAAAAAATAGGAGCCGAATTTAAGACCTCCGTGTCGTACCGACCCGAGGTAATGAGTACTTTCAATAGACTGAAAAAAAAATTTTGTGTCAGGGGCACTTTTAAGGAGAGTCACAGTTTTCTGTTGATTGCTAGTGATAATATAGTCTGTGTGTTGTGACCTCGAAAAGTGCCTAGAAAACGATTTTCATTTAGCATGTTTTGGATCTGAAACATTTTTACAGGAACTAACACTTTTGAACACGCTGAGTTAAAATGCGAAAAGTTATTGTAGATCCACAGTTTTCTCACAAACTGCTATTTTGTCTTCACTAATTTCACAGCAAATCTTTTCATTGTTCAATGACACGGATCGATACACGAAGGTCGAAGGGACCAATATCAAAGGCAATCTCGAAACCAGAGCCCGCAATCTTCTGTGGAGGCTTGCTGAGGCTCTGGGACACACCGGCGAAAGTCGGGCTCTGATTGGTTGTTTTTCAACATCTCGTCCCCAGGCCCAAGCGGCCCTCAAAGTTTTTCAAGTGCTAATTATTCAAACTTTGAGCCGTATTTAGTTATTCGGATTTCAAACATCGTTTAAAATTAATATAAATTAAAGTTTATTTCTCTTTGTGTATTATGTTTAAACATATCAATGAAACACACAGCATAACATTAATAAACTTATTAAGCTTTCCTAGCTTCTCATATGAAATCAAAAGACTATTCTATTTCTGATATTGATATGCTATAAATAACAAAATTAGAATAACAACAGTGCAGCATTATAATATTTAAAATAACACAACAATCTATAATATTTAAAATAACACAACAATCCATGATTTACCGTAATTAAACAATTTAAAATAAATCACTACCAGTATCTTACAACAATTCAAAACCATGGCAAGTGTTCTTTGAAGAATTAAAGTCGTAATAAGCTTAAACAACGGCATAATTCATGTTTGACGGCAGTAATGTCTACTTATAAATGTCGAGCGGATTAGTGGATCCAAATGTACTGATTTTCGTGCAAAAGTCGCCGGTGTTTCCCAGAGCCTCAGTAAGCCTCCACAGAGGATTGCGGGCTCTGGTTTCGAGATTGTATCAAAGGGACCAATTTCTGTTAACCAGTCTTCCTTTTAACAAAAGACCGGTTTTGCTCGAATCATTTTGAGTTACACTGTATGTAATCTTATGCGTGTTGGACGTAAACAACATATCTTGTCTACAACTTTGAGAAGGTACAGATAACTCTTTCTAAAATCCTCAGTTCTGGCTCTATCTCTATAAAATCACAAGGACATTAATGTTAAGTCTTTGGGCTATGTTTCTCTGGGCTGAGAAATAATTCTTTACATGCAATCAAAATGTTTTATACAAAGATCTAAAACGTTAATCTTATGTAATGGATTGGCATTTAAATTTCCAACACAGTTTCTGAGACGTAATTCAAGAGGTCAGTAACTTATCATTGCATTTGAACTATTATACATCAGTTGGTGTTATGCAGTGCAATAAACGACTATTATTGGAAAGAGGGCTCACCAAATAAACAGCTCATGCACACATTTGTCCACTTCGTTGTTTACAGAGCAGATTTTATACTTTGGGACTGAACATTTTTTCAGACTTATAGTTTAAAGTTATTTAATTAAGATTGATTCTGTCTTCTACCAGCAACCAATCGACAATATTTCATTTTGGCGTTACGTTGGCTTCACATTACTTCTGTTTTAAATACCTTGATTGCGTTAAAAGAGTTTTTTTCAGGCCAGTGGCATAGCCAAAAGACTTACCATTAACTTCCGTGCGATTTTATAGAGATATCGCTAGAACTGAGGATTTTAGAAAGCGTTATCTGTACCTGCTCAAAGTTGTAGACAAGATACAGTTATGTTGTTGACGTCCACAACGCATAAGATTACATAACTCGATAATGATTTGAGCAAAACGGTCTTTTGTTAAAAGGAAGACTGGTTAATAGAAATTGGTCCTATTGAGTGACATAATCGTGTATCGTCATCGATCCGTGTCGTTGAACAATGAAAAAATTGTCGTGAAATTAGTGAAGATAAAATAGCAGTTTGTGAGAAAACTGCGGGTCTACGGAGCAGGAACGTTTCGGATTTGAACTCAGCATGCTTGAAAGTGTTAGTTGCCGTAAAAATATTTCAGATCCAAGACATGCTAAATGAAAGTGAACGATATTGGTACGCAGCGGACGGCCTATATTAATTAATATATAATATAATATTGCCTTCTTAGAACAAATGAACAATATTGTAGCAAGTCCTTTTAACTGCTTGCCGTAAATGAAACATAGCATTTACAGTATATATTTGCATAAACCTGTTAAATAAAAACAGAATTAGTTCACCTGTATATGTCAGTTGCCAGATCATGTATTTACCACCATGCAAATTTGTCAATAATGTATTACGAAAGTCACCAAACTGTGGAATCGCATCAAAAAATTGTATCGTCGCAACTCCCACAAACGTCTAATGACCGCACCTGCATATTTTTGCATGTTTACAATTCTAATTTTGAACAGCCAATCCGGTTCTTGGTAACAATTACAATTAAACATCGATTGGCTGTTTAAAATTAGAATTGTAAACATGACATGTTCGGTGACTTTCGTAATAATCGTGACTGAAATCTGAATGATCAATAAATTCAGAAAACAGTGTAAAACATTCAAAACAGTTCTTGTTGGAAAAAAATAACTGTCATTGACTACAGTACACTCCTGTACTTGTGTGCACTAGCTGAGGGCTTCTGTATGCTAAGCATGATTGTACTGGTACTGTATGGTAGTAAGTTCAGCATGATTGTACTGGTAGTCTGGTACTGTATGGTAAGTTCAGCCTGATTGTACTGGTACTGTATGGTAAGTCCAGCCTGATTGTACTGGTACTGTATGGTAAGTTAAGCATGATTGTACTGGTACTGTATGGTAAGTTAAGCATGATTGTTTCTTTATATGTTTGTAGTTTGTTCCTGGTGCGACTGAAGTCAACTCAAGTAAGTTCTTTTTTGTAAAATATTTTTTTATTTTTGTCCAATAATATGGCCACTACAGTATTACAGAGGTAGATTACCACCACATTAAGGCACAATCTGTACAGAAAGTTGTACAAATTGGTTAGTGTAATGAAGACATTTGTAATCACCTCAGAAGTTGTCACCTCACGAGGGTTACCATCAACGAGAGTGAACTTATACTTGCCAGAGCAGGGCACTTTAATCCTACCCAGGAACAGCTGACAAACATGACTATTTATTCCTGATTACTTAACTTTAGTAGGTATATTTTCAAATTACATGCCTTTTGAACTTGAGATAGGTGCCACTTTTGAGCTATTTTAAGTAAAATATGAGCAATTTTCAGCCTCTCGTCGACATCTTGAAAACATAGTTTCGTAAAACCATAAAAAAATCGTATTAAGCAAATAAAGTTGTTCAATCTCCATGAAAACGAGAGTATTAGTTGTCAATCTTGCTTGCATGTGAACAGTAACTGGAGGGGATAAACACATCACAACGTTTTTAAAAAATCAGATGAATTCTTGTAAAATTCCCCTTCATTTCCGGTCTGAAAATACTCTCGCAAGGTCAAATTTCAACATGGGCTATAACTCCTATAAAACAGAAAGTTGAAACGTTCTGAAAGAAGCTCGATTAATATTACCAAAGTCTAGTTCATATGCAAAATATGAGCTAAATCTATTTTTCCTTCCCCAAACCAGTGGGTGGATTTTACTGAGAGGCCCTCTTAAGTTGTTTTTACTCTGTCTACATGTAACTCCAGAATATTTTACTTGTAAGGGGATAAAGTCACAGTAGATGGGGGTTAACAGTATTGATAACCCACTGTAATTGTTTGCATAAAATAGGCATGGTCGAAAAAAAATTTCCTGACTAACATAAGCAATTTTTCGACCAAGATAAGCAATGTTTCCAATGTTTTCAGCGCAATCATAACAAAAGCTTTAAAATTGTTAAAATTGCGAACCATTTCATAACTTTGAGCAACTTCGACCTTCTTTTATCCCAAACTTTGACCAATTTTTTCCGAGTTTTACCTTCAATTTTAAGCAAATATCAGTTCCATTTTGACCAACTTTGACCAACGTTTTAATTATTGGGGGTGTTACACCCCCACACCCCCCCTATAGCGACGTCCCTGATTGTCTGTAATATTCATCTAGCATTAGCCTGTATAGGAGGTGCATGGGTAGGGTTTATAAACATTTCATCAATGTAATGGTAATGTTTTTTGTCTCTAAGTAGGTGGAACATATGAGTACAAGTCATTCACAACAATCCATCCAAAATCTGCTCAAGCACAGGCAGCTGCTTCACAGATACCAGATAAACTAAAGGGAAAACCTTTGTATGTTGGAAACTTTACTTGGGTAAGTGGAGTGAAAATTTCAAGTCAAATTTTGTGTTGACTATTAGTGTTCGGTTTTTACTATAAAATTAATACTGTATATATGGAAATAATGCTATGATGTTGTTGAAATAGAAGCGAAATCGCTCTCTCATGTCACAGAGTTGAAGAGACAATAAATTTCTCTAAAATGGTTCTCAGTATTTGCACGACCATTATGCGAAGGCTCATTTTTTAAAGGAACTGAATCAGCAATTTACCAAATATAGATTATAGCTAATGGTTGTTGCGTTATTCCTTTGTTATTTTTCGTTCGGTCAATTCTAATTATTCAATAATCCTTTATTCAACCAAGCATAAATTTCACATGGAAATTGAATTTTGCGTCCGTACAGTGAATTGCTATCGTACAAAATGGTACCACTTGATGAGTAAAAATTCCATTTAGAGCTCTAAAAATGGACCAGGCATTTTTAGAAGAAAATAGAATTTAATTTTTTCTGCATTAGATCAGAAGTAATGGACAAGTAATTTTTTAAATGACTGCATGAACGTGCACAACTATGATTCCTACTTCACTGAGAGTGTATGCTCCTAGAGAGAACAGGATTTTGTAATATTAATGTAATACATTCTGGTTATATCACTGACAATAATTTACAGAATATATTAATTTAATTTGTAATTTTTAAGGTGTATGTAAAAATGGAGTCCTCGATTTAAACGTATCTGTTGAATAATAAAGGAAACATTTACTTATAATTTTCTTAGTAATTTAGTCATTTACAGTAGCTTTCAACCGCTACTTTTGAAATTACATAGAGGGATGTTTGCAAAGAATATTATTTTATGGTACTGAGTTTGGAGATTCAAAAATTTGAGAGATAATACCAAATCGATACTACAGTAACTTATTTTCTCAACAAAACGGGAAAATGAAGATTTTGACAAAGGCTAATCAAAACTAAGAAACTACAGCATTCTGTGCATTACTTTTAGTTACTAAATTTACCTGCATTATGGTCCCTGTTTAACAGTGGTTTTAAGTTTGCACCACAATTTGCTAATTCAATGTGTTTGCATTGCGCCAACGATAGACAATTTTAAGGTTTTTTAGTTTTGGAAAGAATTCAGGAGTTTGAGATGAATAAAACAGCCGAATAACTTTAAAATATTTCTTGAATAATTCTTAGTGTTTTTGTCTCGTGTAGTAACAATTTCAAACGCGACTATAAAAGGCAATGTTGTGTTCTAAAAATGATGTGTTCCGACTACTAAATTTTACCATAAATGATGAACTCCATTTTTCTATACACCCTCTAGATCTAATGTTCAGTTATTGATGTGTACATATATATTTAATATTAGTTAATACTCACTGTAAAATGCCCCGATGTAAAAAATCGAAAATCCTGTTAACCTTATACTGTAGTCATTACATGTTACTAACATTCATGTAAATAATCGTTATATACAAAAACTTTGTGGAACTTCATTAGTGGACGACAGACCAGCAACTTGAAGATGCATTGCAAGAATGTGGCGTCACAGACATAGTCCAGATTAAGTTTTTTGAAAACAGAGCAAATGGGCAGTCGAAAGGGTAAGTATAACTCGTATTATTGTCCATGGACATTTGAATATTGTGGCATAGCAGACATGCTTTCTTAGTCAGTAAAAATGAATAATTATGCTGTATAAGATCAATACATCAACCCAATTTATCATATAATGTCATTTTATCATATAATATCATTTCAACCGTTTGTTTCACTTTTTCATCCTCTGTGGGGGAGTTTTCATGCATAGAACAATGAAAATTTCCATCAATATACCAACATATTGTTTGTACTATTTTTTGAGATTGAAATTACAACTAGCATGCAGTTGCCTCCCTTATAATACTATTTCCATTGCGAAATAGTGGATGTTTCCCCAACTAATATCATATGTTCATGATTACGGTTTAGACTATAACAACAAGCTCACTGGAAGTGTGGCCAGCAATTTAATAAGCTTGAATAACTATGGCGTCTACTCCTTGTACAAATTCTGATCACGATCGTCAGGCTTTTAAAGTATAAAAAAATTGTACAAATAAATTTCATGTAAATTTTTATTATGTCTACAATGAGTTGGGAAAAAAATTATAAAATTATTATTGTTACATTATTACAGAAAAAGGAGTTGTAAATTTGGAAAGTGCGGAAAATATTATACGTATTTATAAATTGTAAAACATGACTTGTTTAAGTGAAATTTAATTACAACTTGTAATAATTACAAGGTACAAATGAATTTAATATTTTGTAAAATTATAAATGAAATATTGTAATCTGGCCTCTGACGTACACTACTGCCTCCCCATTGTATTATACTAGTCGTCAGAAACAACATAAACTATTTTAATTAGTGCTGGTTGTAAAATTAGATGCTTCCTCGCAATATTTTTTTTTCATTTACTAACTTATAGTTTTGTTTGTATAGCTACAGTGTATAACGTATAACGTAATTTACGTATAGTTTATATACGTATAGTTTATATAATATGTAATTTGTATATTAAACTAGCTGGCTACAACCTGTTGGTTTTGCAAATGATAACAGTCGTAAATAGCGTTGCACCCTTGTTTAAAAGTGCTGTAGGATTTTTTATTTCTTGGGAATTGGGAAGAAATTTATTTGTAAACACAAAATGATAGACTGTAGCCATCTAGTTTTTAAATAGTACATTATATTTATAACGTGGCATGTTAAATTATTTAAGCATGCTCCATTGTTAAACTAACAATTGTATATTTTGCAAATACAAATAAATTTACGATTATTTACAACATTTATAGTTTTAGTGAAATTTAGTCGCTGCTTACGATTGTGCTATGCTTTTTCGTTTTAATTTGTATTGTATTGTATTGTACTGTGGTGTTTTTGTCTTTTGTGTTTGTTCTTAAATGTACAGTACTATTGTTTTAATTTATATTTAAAATTTCAATATTGTAATCCTTTTTATGCTTTCTATTTTTTCCCTCGAAGGTAGGTTGTATGTGTATTGTATCTGTTAGAGTTATTAGTTTATTTTTTCGCTATTTTCTGTTTCTTCGTGTGTACAATTTTCCGATGTATAATAAGTGTACACTAAAATTTATTGTATTGGTTAAAAACATCCGAACATTTGCACAAAATATTTTTGAAATGATATTTGGAAACGATTTTTAGTTATGGCTGTTTCAGCAAAAATTTGAACCAGGATAAGGCATTGTCTTATAGACATATACAAAATTGTATTTTGCTAGACGCTGTTTTTATAGTTTTCCCAAGTAGTTTTAGATGCCGCTTTTTAATTTCATATACATTTTATATTTATAGGTATGCTTTAGTCGAGCTGGGTTCAGATGTTTCGGTCAGATTGGTATCTGAAAAATTGCCTTTGAGGTGAGAATAATACAAGTTTTATTTGAAGCGAATACCAGTAAAAAGATATATCTGTATGCATGCAATGGCGATTGCAATAAAATTACATACCGCGGGCTTAACCGCATAACTGTGTTATGTGTAACTGGCCAATCAGAAGATACGTAGTGACTACAATGTACAGGGTGTATAAAAAAAGGAGACCTTTAGAAATCAAGCATATTGTTAAAATTTGAATGCCTTTTCAATTGCACATCGTCGAAAATCTTTGAGATTCTAGGCATTCAATTGAGTGCCGATATTATTTTCACGGTATACCCATTAAACAGAGGTAGGGAAGAGCGAGAGAGTGTTGTTTTCAAATATATAAACATTTCAGACATGAATATTGAGAAAATCTTTCAGATTCTACGCAATATATAAATTGATGACGTTATGCATTACCGGCGCCCAATTAAGTGCCAGAAGATATATTGTTTAGGCCGTGTAGTTCATTATACATTGGCCACATTGACTGTATAAGGTGCTACACCACAGAATAGATGGTTACACTCAGTACAAAGAGAGAGATTTGCATCAGACAAAGCGTAAACAACTATTAAACAGAAGCGGGTGTTTGTATGGCATTTACGAAGAAAATAACTTGTGAGTTGTGATGGAGACTAAAAGAAATCAGTTGAGTCTGCAGAGCTCTTTATTTAAACAAGAAAGACGAGGATCGAGTTATAGCCAACGTGTTATCGCCAATCGCTTGGCTTGCCAACAAGCTTTGTGCAATAGAAGAAAAAAGCAAGGAGGTAGCCAACGTGTACCGTCAAGGACTTACTTTGTTTACTGTCTAGCACAACGTCAACAGTGCAAACTCGTGTTCAGTGCAACGATAACTCTACCAGATCTTACGAGAATCAATCTGTACACAGAGCCGTATCAAAGCTTGTTAAAACTGCTATAAACGCTGTTATAACTGTGAAACTATTGAAATCTAAAGTGACATTGAATACATGCGAAAAGCTGAAAATGACTCATGAAACGCAATGCGACATTGCCATTGGGAATATAAAGTCAAAGGTCAATCAGACTTGTTATTGTGAAACATGTCACAATTAGGTTAAAATGCGGAAGCGGATGGAGCGGATCCACGGAACGGATATGGGGATAAAATATAGAACGGATGGGGATAAAATGCGTTCTTTTAATGATACAACGTCGTAGTGCTTATTATTCATAACATATCTTATACAGCTATTTGGGTAATGGGATTAATCATATTAGATAAGTTCAGCGTATCAGTAGCCTCGTTAGGATGCTTTTAGCGACAGCTGCAAATGCAAATGAAGTTTTAGAATATGCAAAATTTGGGTGTTGGTGAAACATTTTAAATTTCAAGTTATCGCGTGTAGCATCACAGTAAATAAATAAATTCTATCAGTTCCACGAGGCACGTTTCTGATCTGTTAGGCTTGTTTCAAACGTGGCGCTACTCATGTGCCGAACGCATTATAAAATAGATGAGATGAAATGCCTTTGGTAACTGTTTATTTGGTAATGTAAGCCATCAGCCTTTCTAGGTTGTTGGCAACCCTATATAGTTCTTGCAGTGTCTTTTTCAATTTGAAACTTCACACTATCCTTGGATTCCTAGTTTTTATACACCCTGTATATAATAACTGGGTGTAACGCCTGTTTTTAAATGTAACGTAGCGTGCCATAGCATTTTTGTAGCGTATAGTGTTCTGCCCTCAGGAAGCAAAGGAATACTTTACGTTTCGGTACGATACGGCTAGTTACTGTAACACGCCCATATCTGAGTATCAGGAACATTACATAATTATTTTCATAATTTAAAAAAGCTTCGGATTGATAGGGATCGACGAAGGGCCTTCGCTTGAAACGAAGAAGTTGTAGTTGTATCCCTATCAATGCGAAGCTTTCTTATTATTCACACTACCTACGCTGGCAAAGACCGTTAGGCCAAGTAAAAAAATAGTAGTTTCTCGTCCCCGCCCGCATCCTTTTTCCCTGCCGCATGGATTTTTCTTTTTTTTTTTAATTTTTATATTCGAGCCTTTCAAAGAATTTCCACTTAGTGTATTCCGGCTATTTTGATCCTTTCGGCATAGTTCGGTTGCCGTTTGGAAATTTTCATCAACTCTCGCTTGCTGTTCCGTGTTTTGGTGCCATATTGCATTAATAGCTCTTTGTCTATTTTAATATATTTACGTTTTATGAGTAAACTTCAATATTTGCGTGTGTTTATAGGTTATTCAGTAAACATTAAGAGCAATATTTGAAGGTTTAACAACAAAAAACAACGTCCGCATTCTTTTTTTTTTCCAAATTCGGACGAGAAACTACTATATTTTTTTTACTTGGCCTTACATAATTTAACCTCGTTCAATTTTGTCTTTCAGAGAAATCAATGGTCAGACCCCAGCAGTGACTCCTGCCACTAAAACACATTTACAGCAGTTTGAAGTTACTGCTAGAAAAAGTAAGTGTACTGTAATGTTTTTGTTGCTTTCCTCAAGGGAAATGGCGATAATTAAAAGAATGGCTTCGTGTAAACGAGTCTTAATTAGGCCAAAAAAAATATGTGGGTTTCCGGTTTCCCGACCCTACCTGGCTTTTGGACGTCGAAATCCCGACCCTAAACTTTTTATTGGATCGTGCTTGTAAGTGTTTCCACTTAGAGGAAAAAGTTTGTGGAAAATTGAAGTTTGAGGCAATATTAGGGAAATTTATCTTTGGATGTGGAAGCACTGACGTCCAAAAAAAAGTTTAAAAAAAAAGTTAAAACCGACCTACCCTACCTAAGTTTTTATAAGAAGAAACCGGAAACCCACATATTTTTTTTTGGCCTTATGTTAAATGGCAGCTGAGGTGAAATATTTTATTAAATTATTGAAATATTTTTTATCTAAAATAATTATATTACAACGTACGTACTGTTCTGGCATATAAAGACCCGTTTACACTTGCAATGTTTGCTGCGATTTTCTTCTCGTGATGTATGTGAACGAGTGGATGAGTTATGAATGTTCAGATGCGGGTACATATATTCAGAGCATCCACGACTTATTTACTCGTTCACATCGATCAGAAGAAGAAAACTGCACTAGAAATCGCACCAAAATTGCAAGTGTAAACGGGCCTCGAGTAGGCAGTTGCGATATTGAAAAAAGGTATATTGACAGGTGTAATGTTCGTGGTTTTGTATCAATATCAAGCACTTTTAAGTATAACAATAGATATCAAACAACTTGTACAAACAGCATAGTACGTATCCAATTACTTCCCGGTTCCCTAGCCTCGTGCTTCTAAAATACTTAACTAACTTTCTAGTCACGTGTGTGCTAGTGTCAATAATGTCAACATTGCATCCCTCCCTTGATTTAAATATGAACTCTAGTACTAACTATAACAAAATATGCATATAATGTTTAAACTGTATCTTATCTGTTTTAGTCCAGGTCAATCATAAATGTTATTTCCATATCTGTACACCCGCTGTCTTTCTCTTGCCGGATATCTCGGACCATCATCTTGTCTCTGACCATTGTTCTGCCGCGGACGATCATTCTGTCTCAGTCCATCATACTGTTCATGCTCTTCGTGGACATCTTCATCTGAGGAATAATTTTCTTCATCCATTATCTCTGTTGACTCCAACGATCTGCCATGTCTGGGGTGATACTTTTTAAAGAACGAAATGTTCCGAGTTATATATTTCCCATTCCTAATTGCTGTGATTCTGTTCCCACGGCGATTTGTGACTTCATATGGTATTGGATCGTATTTTGTGGACATTTTATTTGCTTTCGGTTGCCGCACCAAAACTAAATCACTTTTCTTGATGTCAGCACACTTAACTCTTCTTTTGGAATCAGCATATTCTTTTTGGTTCTTTTTCAACCTTTCATCTCTCTCCTTCACCTCTTGATGAAGTGAAGAATCATTTTCGACTGTCACTTGAGGTAATTTTGTTTGAATCTTACGGTTGTATAGCAACTCGGATGGTGACTTGCCAGTGGTGGAATGTGGGGTAGCTCTGTAGTTGAGCAAAAATTTAAACATTTCACGTTTCCAGTCTTTGTTTTCATGATGGGCAGATTTCACAGCCTTTACAAGTGGTTTCATAAAGTTCTCGGCTTGTCCATTTCCTTGGGGCCATAATGGTGAGCTTGGTTTATGTTTAATGCCGAGTTCTTTCAAGTACAGACTAAATTCATGGCTCTGGAATGGTGGACCATTATCACTCTTTAACACCTTTGGAATACCATGTGTGGCAAAAATTCGTTCAAGTTTCAATATTGTTGATTTTGCAGATGTTGAACTTACAATTTCCACCTCTGGAAATCGTGAATATGCATCAATAATCACTAACAGATATGAACCACCTAGAAATGGTCCACAAAAATCAATGTTCACTGTATGCCAGGGTTGGGGAGGCAGCGTCGTCATTCGCAGTGGTTCTTGGTGACTGTTTGGTCCATTTGCCTGACATAACAAACAAGTATCCACTGTGTGCTTAGCAAGCTTGTCTATACCTGGATACCAAACCTTTTCTCGCAACAACTGTTTAGTTTTTACTAGCCCTTGGTGGCCTTCATGAGCAATTTGAACAGCCTTTAGTCTAAGGCTTTCTGGAAGCACAATTCGCGAGCCTCGTAATATAATTCCATCATGCTCGTTTAGTGTAAGTTCTGTTTTAATTTTCTCACATGCTTTCAAGTCCAAAACCTTTACATTGGGATTGGATTGTACGTCTAGAGAGTCTATTAAATGCCATTTACCTGTTGTGACGAGGTTGCTTAGGATCTGTAATGTTGAATCAGCCACGGTGGCTTGTTGTATTTCAGGCAGAGTCATTGCTCTTGGCACAGCATGTTGGGTAAGGAAACAAACATAATTGTCAGCCATTGTTTGGAACTGTCTGTCATCAGTGGTGTTGTTAACAGGTAAATGTCGAGATAGGAAATCTGATGGATTGTCAAGTCCCTTTGTATACCTTACATTAAAGTCATAATCTTGCAAGCGTAAATTCCATCTCTCAATTCTGGCTGGAGGTCTTGATTGTGGATTATTTAAAATCAACTCGACTGGTTTGCAATCAGTTATCAGAGTAAAATGTCCTCCGTATAGATAGATATGTAAACGTTCAATTGCCCACACAATTGCAAGAGCTTCTCGCTCTGTTTGACAGTATCGTCTCTCAACATCCGACAGCGAACGACTGATATATGCAACAACATTTTGTTGGTCTGATCCTGGGACTTTCTGTGTCAGAATAGCTGAGAGACCAAAAGGTGATGCATCAGTGATAAGTTCTGTTTCCTTGGTTTGATCAAAATATGCCATAACTGTTGCACTTGTGAGGGCAGCTTTTACTGCGTTGAAGGATTTAGCATGCCTAGATGTCCAGCAAAAAGGCACATTTTTTCTCGTTAATTCTCGCAAAGGCTCTGTGAGATCACTGAAATTAGGGATAAATTTCGCACAATATGTCACCATCCCAAGGAAACTCCGAACAGCTTTAATTGAATTTGGAGGTGGGCAGTTGTGAATTGCTGAAACCTTCGCTGGATCCGGTGAAATGCCATCACCTGAGAAGACAAAACCAAAAAATGTGAGCTGCGATTGACTGAACTCACATTTGTCTTTGTTGAAGGTTAATCCAATGAGTGAAAACCGCTCAAAAATTTCATGAAGAGCTTTGTCATGCTCAGCTTGGGTTATGCCAAAGATAATTATGTCATCACTAATGTTGATGGCATTCGGAATGTCACGGATTTGTTCGCTAATTACATGTTGGAAGATTTCACTTGCCGAATTGGTGCCAAAATTCAACTTCTTATAGCGGTAGAGTCCTTTGTGCGTTACAAATGTGGTTATGTGTCGACTTTCCTCAGCGAGAGATAACTGGTGGTATCCCGAGCGAAGATCAAGCTTTGTAAATATGGTGGCGCCGTTTAATTTGTGAATTAAATCATCCACAGTTGGGGTCGGATGTCTTTCGCGTTGAATTGCCTGATTAGCCATGCGCATATCAATGCATAGCCTGATCTCACCATCTTTCTTTGGGATAACAACTAATGGACTGACCCAAGGAGTGGCATCTGATACTTTTTCAATAATTCCATCACTTTCTAACGTGTCGAGCGCATCTGGGACCTTTTGCCGCATGTGGAAAGGAATACGACGGGGGGTTTGTGCTACTGGAGGGACAGTATCATCAATGTGCAATTTAACTTCAAATTTTTTAAGAGTGCCAATTCCGTTGAACAGATGGGCATACTCTTTCATCAGTTGTTCATGGGTGGCATGTTCCGGTTTCACATTGTTAACATTCAGCATGATTAGATCCAAAGCAGATGCCGTTTGATAGCTTAGCAAACAACCAAAATTTCCTTTGATAACATGAACTTGCGTGGTTGTTGCACCAGTCAAACATTCTAGAGTTGCACGAAATTGTCCCATAACAGGTAGCTCCATATGCAAAAATACGTGTTTTGGAACGTTGAAGGGCTATGGGTCTCTGTTTTTGCAAGGTGTTGAAAGCAAGTTCATCGATGATGTCGATGGAAGCACCAGTGTCGATAACCATGTTGATAGGGGTGGGTGGTGTTGACCGAGATTTGAACCTGTGGAGTTGTTTTGTCTCTACATGTCGGTTTCGGAGTAAAAATGAATTCATCCTCGCTACTGCTTTCACTGCTGGAGGGTGTGCCATAAATCTTGTGAACTTTGTTTTTGTGGTATTTTTTTGAAGGCCTTCGATTCTCTTGTTGACCGACGCGAACCTTGCGAGCACTACGACAGACTTTCGCAAAATGGTTTGATTTTCCACAGTTCAGACAAGATTTTCCTTTCGCGGGACAAATATTGTTGTTATGGGGCCAGGGCCCCCCACAATTCCGACACTCTGATGAGGTGTAAAAGTCTTGGCGGTGAAACGATGTATGTTGTTTATCACGATGGTTGTTATGTTTCGTTGTAGGATGGACAGCTTCAACTACTTCGTCAGAAATATGTGTTGAGTCAAGTGCGTTTTCAATGCCGGTTGCCTGCGATTCACTGAGTTCAAAAGCTCTGCCTTTTGCGAGAATCTTGGCTAGCGTAACTTCCGAGTCAAGCAGGGCGTAGCGTCGTAGACGTTTCGATAAACAGTTTTGAATTATGGCCGATTTTACTTCCTTGTCGATATTTTCGAAGTCACAGGTTGCCGCCAGCTTCCTAAGACGAGTTGAAAACTGATCGATTGTTTCATGTGGTTGTTGTTTGGCTTCACGAAACTTAAAAATTTCAAAATCGACATGTTTTTTAGGTGAAAAATACGTATCGAGGGCAGCGATAGCGGAATCATAGTCGTCGTCTTCGCCGATGTCAACAAGGGTATCAAAAATATCCTGAGTCTCTTGGCCAGCTTGGTACAACAAGAGAGCCCGCTTTTGTTTCTTTTCAGTCACATTCAGAGCAACAAGATATGTTTCAAATCGTCGTTTCCACTTTTCCAGCGCTGACTGAGAGAGTTTGGATCGGACATAGGATCAAATGGCGCCATTGGAGCTACATTGATTCGGCCAGTCGCCATGACTGTATTCGTAAACTAGAGATTTCAAAATCGTTTGTATTGATAAACGATAGCTGTTTTTTTTTTTGTTTGTTTGTTTACCTCGTCGCCAATGTAATGTTTGTGGTTTTGTATCAATATCAAGCACTTTTAAGTATAACAATAGATATCAAACAACTTGTACAAACAGCATAGTACGTATCCAATTACTTCCCGGTTCCCTAGCCTCGTGCTTCTAAAATACTTTAACTAACTTTCTAGTCACGTGTGTGCTAGTGTCAATAATGTCAACATTGCAGCGTTCAGCAGAACTCTTCCCAAACGTAAAACCCATGCCTTCAACTTCTAAGACTATTAAATTCATATGATTGATAATATACGACGAATTATCTTTACTACCATGCATTTATTTGAAGGAGTTTGTTTTGGCCGTCGTCGTCGCGTTGCCGTCCTAAAATTCTAGGGTCTCTATTAACATCGAAATGAAGCCCGAGGAAATGAAACCAATTTATTTGCTGTGCTGGTGCATTGCTGCAGACGTTAGACTTAGGGAGCCATGGAGCGACGCTTCTTCCATAGTACAAGTGGGCTAACTCTTCAAAATCTTCAAAATTTAGTTGAATTAAGAATCTCTTCAAAATGAATTAAGAATTCAGCAGTTACATGCCAACTACAAAAGTCATGTGAAGGCAGTGGAGCTACCTTTCTAAACCTAACGCTGCTACTGGCTAACAACTCCAAAAAATTATATGGAGCCACCTGCAGTTAATGGCTGTGCCAGCATTGACTAAGCTCCATTGATAGATTGGCTACCTTCACAAAAGTAAGATCGAGCATGTGCTGACGTTCAGTGAGATGTAGTAGAATTGAGTATAAATTGTTTTTAGGACAAGCAATATAATTGACTAACATGCCCTGATAGGAAGTGGTCAGAAATAAAATTGCACTGCTGCGCATTCCCTCAGTTTTAGGGGGTGACATGTGATTGGCTAAATTAACCAATTCTCTGGTTTCATATGAGGTCACGTGGGGGTCAAGGGTCTGTGTCTATTATTTATATTTTTTATTGGCGTTTGTAATAGTCGGAGAACTCGTTTACATAAGATGCGTTGATAGCCATTTTGTGTCTTTGTTGTTTAAGTTGACCTCAGTTGAATGATTGACTCCCACTTGAGTAAAATGCTAAACATGACGTGATTGAAACCCAAGAATACAGTAGGATTGCTGGCCATTTAGGAAGGAACGTAGACATGTTTCCATGTACTGAATATGTTAAAACAACCTTGATAGTAAAGGATATGTCGATAAAAATGCAGTCTGTCTCATTTGAGAGAACATTTAAAATTATATGTAAAACGTCTTTAGCAATTTTTTATATCTTGCGTAGTTGAAATGTTTTGACTGAAAACATTAAGCTGTCCGCCATCTTATTAGATTAATTTTTATTTCATGAACATGGTTTTGACGACATCATTGGAGAGTTAGCCATTAGGTTAAACTAGTTACCGAAGTATAATTTAGGGTCATAATGACCATTGGATATCTGGATTGGATATTTGCGTGATCCTGGTTGTGACGTAACGTGCATTCCACGACGATCGAAGATGGGGAACAGGTCATTGTTTGAAGATCATTTCAGTCAAAATATTTCAAGAACTAAGCCGAAGCTAGATTTGCAAAAGCTGTGAAACGTTTTCCACGTAATTTTAAAAGTTCTTTCAAATAAGGGAAACTGTAGTTTTATTGCCATATCCCTTTGACGAGTTGTTGAGAATATAACGTATGTCTGTTATCAGGTGATAGATGGTAAAATCATGAATATACACTTAATTCTGGATGATCCAGCTGGCAACAGTTATCTACAGGTTCGTTGCTAGTAATTGTATGTAGAGTATACGTATGTAGTGAATGGGTTCGTATCGTGCCAGTTCGGGCTACGTTGGACCTTCGCAAAGTCCTTCGTCTTTGTTCCCGTAATCAGCAACGAAAACGAAGGACTTTTCGAGCCAGTAATTTGAGAAATAGTAAGGAATTCTGCATTTTGAGTCAATTGTCTGAAAATGCAGGAAATCAAGACCCAAAAGTTGAAAAATACAAAACGTTTCTAGAGGTGGAAGTTCACCTCCTGGTAAAGTCCCTTTTCTTTTATGTCCCCCCCCCCCTCCCCCCCACCCGCCGACTGACGAATTCTTAAAAGACGCCCTGAAAACAAGCCAATCCTTGCAAGATATTAACAACACGTTTTTGAATACATATATTTGTAAATAGAGCATTGGACTGTGTTAAGTAATTCTTTCATTGATACCTTTCAGAAAGCGGTACCAATTTCCTGTGCGTAATACAAAATGACTAAAAACGGCAATAGTCGCAAGGCTATATTGTCCGCATTTTACAACATTTTGCAACGAAACTTCGGAATATTACTAAATTAATTTTGTGATGCTCTTTCAAGCTGTTGTGAAATTTTTGTCCAGACTTGTTGAGATCAAAATTTTGGTTATTAGGTAATAGGTCCATTAGAGATAGATATACGCATGTTATTTTAGACAATGAAACAATAGACAACTCCCATTAAGCCTAATTTTAAAACTAGGCAAGGATGATGCAAGATGATTACCACAGCTATAGAAAGAGCATACTAAAATTAGTAAATTTGCAACGTTTGGTTGCGAAATGTTGTAAAATGCGGAAAATATCGCCTTGCAAAGTTTTCAAATTTTGTATACTTTTGTATGGCGTACGGAAATTAGCCATTCCGAAGTTGATGAGTGGACTGGGGACGAGTGTTAAAAAGTGCCCAAATTAAGAAATGAACCAAATCACTAAAAAGACCACCTCAAAATTAGTAAGTATACAAAGTTTGAAGACATTTACATGAATACCCTTCGTATAATAAGCTTTCGAAAATCGCGATATTTACTATGAAATGTACTGTAATTTTTGTTTTTGGGGACGCGCGTCTAAAAAACAATCTTTTAATCAGTAATTTTACAGTTTTCGAAAGCTTATTATTCGACGGTATTCATGTAAACGTCTTCAAACTTTGTATACTTACTAATTTTGAGGTGCTCTTTTTAGTGATTCATTTCTTAATTTGGGCACTTTTTAACACTCGTCTCCAGTCCACTCATCAACTTCGGAATGGCTACAATTTCGGCCCAAATGTGGTAGGAATGTGGTAGGAATTTCCGCACGCAATACAAAAGTATACAAAATTTGCGCAATTTGCAAGGCTATATTTTCCTCATTTCACAACATTTCGCAACCAAACTTTGCAAATTTTAGTATGCTCTTTCCAGCTGTGGTGATTTATTTGCATCTCCTTGCCCAGTTTTAAAATTAGTCTATAATGGGAATTGTCTATTAGAGAGAGATACGCATGTTATGTTCTTTCTTTCTGCAGAATGTCTACGCACCTGAGGACGATCCGAACATGAAGATTGAGTATTATGAAAGAAATCAAGAACAAAATGAAGAACTTGGTATCAGTGAAGAAATGATTGCAGAAGAAAAAGAAAGGAAAGAGAAAGCTCAAAACTGAATGTTCAAGTCGTATAATATGTTATCACATACTTGTGCCTTTATCATGGTGACATAAAAACGATATGTCACTGATATCTTTTTTGTCACTGATATTGCTTTTTGTCCCGCTTTTTAGTAATTGTTGCACTGGGGCAATGATTAACATACTGTAATAAATTCTGACCCTGCATGATAAAGGCACAAGTATATAATAAACAGGTTATCATAATTGGGACGAGGCGTATCAGTTTTGTCGATATCATGTCCTTCGTGCGCTCACTGCTCACTCGTGGCATTTATTATACCATTCCTTAAGCAATAAAACTGATATTGCCTCGCCCCTCATATGACAACCTATACATATTGAACTATATTCTTTGTTTTGCTTTTCTTCAGTAATTATGTAAAATGAGAAAATTCTTGCGTTGCCCTATATCTTTGACTTCATTTAACTCTTTATCAATCTATGTTGCTTCGCTTCTACAAGTGGAAAATAATAAAAATATTTTATTACAATTATGTTATTACAACTATACAGTCAACCTCGTTCCCAGGCTCTTTCCAAAGAGCCTGGGAACGAGGTTGCTATACAGACGGAGTCGTCGATTCAAACGTGGATATATTTTAAAAGCTTAGCCATTTAGGTTTCCAACGGTGTATAACTTTTTAAATTATAAAATTTGAGATGCAATGACAAATCAGTGGATAAGAAATTTCACTTATTTTTGTGAACATTTAGCAATGGTCCCTTAAAACCAAGTTATTATGGCGTCCCATATACTGTACTTTCAATAACATGTTCCATATAACATGACTATCGTGAACCATGGTAGGGGTGCACCGTATTTGGAATTTTCAAATCCGGCCGGAACCGGATTTACCGGATTTAGACAAAAATTCCGGCCGGATTAGCCGGATTTGAGATAAACCGGTAATGGGGATAATTGGGGATAAATCAGTATTCAAAATGGCGGTTTATGTTTTTTACTATTTTTAGTTAGTGTCAGTTTAGATTTTTGATTGTGTTTAAACATCTTTTAAATTTCTTTTTGTTAATAACTTAATATTTTATAATAATATAAGTGTTTTATAAACTTTAATGCTGCCAAATTGATGGTTTATCCCATTCTTGGTGATTTTTTTAAGGTGAAAACAGAAATTTAAATCCGGCCGGATTCTTTCCAAATCCGGCCGGGTGCCGGAAAATTTGTTAAATCCGGCCGGAATTCCGGCCGGATTTGAAATCCGGTGCACCCCTAAACCATGGCTTGATTATCATGTTCATACATGACTAACATGAACGATGGTTCTGATTCACGTGAACGATGGTTGATTAATTATGGTTAACGTGAACCATGATGATTATTATAAACTGGGATTTTGGTTATGGTAAACTAGGTTATGAATATCGCATGGTTATATTATCGCTAACAATCGTTATTACTGTCGCGAAGCATGGTTATGATTATTAGCGTCAGCCAAGGTTATGATCATCTTCAACCATGGACATGCATGATTCCATGACTCGTTATCCAATGGACCTTTAACCTTATAACTAAAATTTTGATCTAGACAAAAATTTCATCACAGTTTGAAAGAGCATCACAAAATTAGTAATATTCCAAAGTTTCGTTACGAAATGTTGTAAAATGCGGATAATATAGCCCTGCGAAGTTTGCAATTTTCAGTCATTTTAGATTACAAACGGGAAATTGATACCCAAATCGGGTGTTTCGGTATCAATTTCCCGTTTGTAATCTAAAATGACTGAAAATTGCAAACTTCGCAGGGCTATATTATCCGCATTTTACAACATTTCGCAACGAAACTTCGGAATATTACTAATTTTGTTATGCTCTTTCAAGCCGTGCTGAAATTTTTGTCTGGACTTGTCTAGATCAAAATTTTAGTTATAAGGTTAAAGGTCCATTGGTTCCAGGTGAGAGACCAAAGACAAATGAAAATTCCCTTCGCGCGAAAAAATTCGCAACATGGAAAACAACCTCGTACCCAGGGAGGGCGTGCGAAGGTAAGAGCCTGGGTACGAGGTTGCGTGGAAAACCGGCATTACACTACACAACGTACAGTTTTGCCTAAAACTGTCGCATGCAACCTGCTTACAACTTGAGTTGTACTGTGTAAATCAAGCACACAACTCGCCTACGATGTCGTAAGTCGAGCCGTGTGCTTGATTTACGCAGTACAACCCAACTTGTAAGCAGGTTGCATCATGCGGTAGTTATAGGCAAAAGTTGTGCAGTGTAAATCGGCCTCTACGTGGCGCTGTAGTGATGTGTCAATAAGCGAGTGGTTATTTCTTGTCACACCAGAAGATTCACTAATAAATTGGTTTTTCTGACACTCGTATATCGCACCGGAACACCAGTCGAAATAGACTTGCCCAAGTCGCTCGCTAGGGACCGCGCGTAGCAAGAAGGGAGCGCTTGAGATTTGAGAAAGACGGTAGCCAGCAACTTGTGTCATTTGCCTGATTTTGAATGTTATTGAAAAATTTGGGGCGAAAATCAATTATGACATAGTGGGCGTTCACCATGTCGATTTCACTAGTTTTTACTACAATAACTTATAGCTTCTTTTACTTTTAAATTTATATCCATTTTATTTTTTAGCTAGAGATTTTTACAGTAATTTTCGACGATTCGCATCTGTTTATATTAAATATACATTTTACAAAATGGCGTCGTTAGTACAGAATAATAATGAGCATTCACTGACGTCACCGGAGCAAAAATGCACCGGTGAATTTGGCGCGCTTGCGGGTGACAAAAGTCCGTCGCTTCCAGGAACCACGAACCGCGGACTTTGGAAAGTCTACAGTCGAAACAAACCTTACAGACAGGCATTTGTGCCAGGCCCACTTTTCCCTTCCACCCTACTCAGGCTAAGTTGAATTCTGAACTTTTAGGGTGTCGAGTGTGTTTCAGTTAACTAAAATTAACCTGAAGGTAGACTATGACAACCAGTGACCACGTAGGCATTCCAAAATGTTTAGGTTATATTACGTGAGAACTAATTATATAATACCTTATTGCATTCTGATCGTTTAATTGGCTGTTTATGATCGATCGCGTGATATTGAATGGAAAATTCCATCTCCCACGAGTGCAATCATAGACGGATTTTGTGGGGGGGTGCAGGGGGGTGCTACCCCCCCAATATTAATAACCCCCCCCAAACAAAATGTCCACCCCTCCAAAAAAATTTTCAACCCCCCCCCCCCAATATTCGGCATAATAAAAAATAATTAAATAATCCACTCCAACGTGCAGAGTGTTGATGATACAAAATAAACGTAGGAGTACACTCAAATGGAGCAATTGTAAAGTTTTGAAACTCTATTATCTCCCCTGAATAGAGTTTGCAGTGCCTTGTCATGCAAATAGCTTGCTTGCAAGGAACGTTTGGAATTTTTACAAACATTATTTTTCGTTTTTAATTCTTTTAGGTTTTTAATTCTTTTTAATTTTTTAATTCGTTTATAAAAGTAAAAGCATATTGTGTATTGGCCTATTGGGTTTACACTTTTACAGGTTCATTTAACTTTAACTCTCTCAAGTCTCAACAGACAATCGGACACAGGGCCGTAGCGAGGGGGTGTTGGGGGGGGGGGGTGGTTAACCCCCCAACTTTTGTAGAATTAACATATTTGGAAAATCGGGTTGGCCATTCGGAAAATTACGGCAATAATAGTATAACAAAATTTTAATTGTTTAATTAAACAGAAAAAATATTATAATATTATAATCAGTATAAAATGATTTACGAAATCACGGCATTTACATGGATAACGTTTAACAAATCGTAATTCTGTAATTTTTTTTCGGTTTCAGTACTTCTCAGGACCGTAGCAACCGGGGGGGGCAGCACCCTTACAATAATTTGCTGATAATCAGTCTTTTTTCAAAATCATGCACACCTTTATCATTTAAACAATTGATTAATTTTAAGCGGCTACATCATCCATGACAAACCGCAAAGAATTATATTACCCATACTCTTTCCTGCAACTTCTCCAATATATAGCTAAATACAACTTCGCCCATTTAATTCTGCTAAATTGTAAGCAAATTGTAAATTTCGACATACTAAAACTCTATTAACCACTCAAACCGACTTTACCACGTAGCTCAGTTGGCAGAGCATTGGACTAGCATCCCAAAGGTCGCGGGTTTTATTTCCACCGTGGGCAAGCTAACTTTTCAGCTTGCCCGATGTGGATCAGTGGATGCATACTCAGAGTAACATCACAAACATCATATTCACTTGAGTACACAACACCAACAACACACATAAATCATATCAAAGATTACACTGATGTCGAAGGTGGGAGATTACTCAGGTGGGAGAGCATTGGACTAGTATCCCAAAGGTCGCAGGTTCGACTCCCACCGTGGCCAGGCACACTTTTCAGCTTGCCCACTGTGGATGCATACTCAGAGTAACATCACAAATATCATATTAAAACTTTGTTTTCTGAAACTTCCAGGAAATGGCATTTCAGAGAATCTAAATTTAAAAATTTCCTCGGGCCTTCGGCCCTCGTTCCCAGCCCCCAATCAAAAAGAGCTTCCTACGGCACTGCATACTTCTGTAATATGTCTTTGTGGAAACTATGTGGGCTATGTGTATTTTTGTTTGTAAATTGCGTCTTCATTTTCCAGATAGCAAACACCTTCGTTGCTTCGTATGCCATGAAATACTCGGAAATTTTTTTCGTCATTCGGAAATATTTGGCCTACACCGCCCACCCCCCAACTATACATGCTAGCTACGGCCCTGATCAGACAGGCCAAATCCATTGATATGACAACTTCAAAAAACGTTTTTTCGAAGCTAGAAATCATGATTTTTTTCAAATTTTTCCAGGGATACTTTGTTTTCTGCTCTCTAGACTCCCCCTCGCGGCTCTAGTGCTCCACCCCTAGAATATAGACCTTACTGGGGTTTGGTGACACTTTGTGTTGCTTCAGTCACCTGCTCACAGCTCACCCCCCTAAAATTTCTGGCACCACCCCAGTAAAAAATATGAAAATCCGTCTATGAGTGCAATGGAATACGTTCCATTACTCTTTGCGACTGCAATTGTACTATACGTTTTATTCCATTGCACTTTGTGTTTCAGTTTCGATAAATGGCATCCGTCAAAATGCCGCTCATACGAATCTATTAGTCTATTTTAGTATTATATAAAACAAATAATGAATGTTTATTCATGCAATGGCAAGAATATTTTCATTCGGTGAAAGATGGAATATTCCATTCAACTCGGCTGTCGCCTCGTTGAATGGAACATTCCATCTTTCACCGAATGAAAATATTCTGGGTACTTAATTACCGTACCGCAAGTATTTGATGGCGTTTGCTCTGACGGTTTTCCCGTTCTTTCGATTGGCGTGTTTTGATGGCGTACTGATGTATTCAGTGATTACTCCGATCCGGTACGGTAAGGGACCGCTCATTATTTATTGTACAGGGGGATTGAGGAGAAACGGGGGGGCTTTAAATTTTTTAAAACCTGAAAGGGGGGCTTTGAAAGAATACAGAGAGACGAAAGAAGGGGGGCTTTGAAAATATTTACCAGTTTGAAAAACCATTAGTAGTTTTAAAAATGTATCACAAAACAACTTAACAAATAACAATGTTTATACACCTTCAATATTCATAAATGGAAGCCAAATAAAAAGTCTCTTATGTTCATGTGAATAGATAATTCCCATTATAGCTAATTTTAGAACTAGGCAAAGAGATGCAAATCAAGGCCGGATTTTGGTGAAAATAGTGGGGGAGGTGGAAAAAATGTTAGGGGAGGTGCAGCGGTCTAGCTCACAACTCCCATGGCCAATATCAACGAGGTGAGGTATGCATGTAGTGTACATAATAATTATGAATGTATATGACTCCAATCTTGCCCTTCATTACAATTGCTACAAAGTTTCAAAATGGCTATCACTGTTTCAATTTTACAGAGAAAACTTTCTTACGTCACGAAGTGTAGATCCTAAGCAACCATCACATTTTCACTTTGTTCCATCATTGAACCTTTCCCAAGGGGAGGTGCATGACCTTTCAGGAGAGGTGGAAAAATTCTCAGGGGAGATGCGCACCTCTCCACACTTCCCCTCAAAATCCGGGAAAAATGTTGCAAAATACGGAAAATATAGCCTTGCAAAGTTTGCAAATTTTGTATATTTTTGTATTGCATGCAAAAATTGCAATACATGCAGAAGTATACAAAATTTGCAAACTTTGGAAGGCTATATTTTCTACATATTTTACAACATTTCGCAACCAAACTTTGCAATTTTACTAATTTTAGTATGCCCTTCCCGGGAATATACTTTTTTTGCTAAGATAAAAAATTAGTCTATAATGGGAATTGTCTATTGGTCCCCATTATCTATTTTTGTCAGTTCTCTAAATAAAGATAAAGAGCTAGAGGGGGGGGGGGACCAAAATTTATGTTCTTGTTTTGGCTGTTGGGGGGGGGTGGCTTTGAAAATTTTACTTAAGAGGATAAAGAAAAGATACTAAAGAAAACTAAAAGATAACTAAAGATAACTTAAGATACTAAAGAAAACTACCAGAGATTCTGGAGACATAAACTTGAAAACTCATCCAAATTTACCTTCTACACAAGCATAAAGGAAGACTATGAGCTTGAAACTTATTTGACTACCATAACTAATTCAAACCAAAGAAAACGTTTAACACAGCTCCGACTAAGTAACCATAAACTAATGATTGAACTCGGTAGATACGAAAACATTCCGCGAGAAGACCGAATATGCAAGGTCTGCCAGGCAGGAGAAATTGAAACGGAACATCACTTCCTAACATCCTGTGAAGCCTATAGTAGTCTCCGAGAAAACTTTTTAAATGACTTGGAAAGTGATCCCACCAATGAAACAGATTTAAACGAACACAGTTTATCAGTTGAGATAATGAAATCAACTGATAAAGAAACCGTGATAAAATTATCAAAATTTATCTCTTTATGTTTTGAAAAGAGATCTAAATGCCTTGAAGCTCGGAATGCTGACAGTCAATAGGCTATCGAACTAACTCCCAAACTTCTTCAATTACATATACTGTATACTGTAAATAGAGTATTCATTTGTTAACTATGCCTTTCTTTATATCAATAACTTCATTTTTATTTCTTGTATTACTCACAGTGTGATATTACCACAGAACATTTTGCATTTGTAACTGTTTATAATTAACTAATAAGCTTTAGCAATACTTGTATGTGAAGTCATGCTAATAAAGCCATTTGTTACTGTTACTAAGAGGGTGGTAACGAAAAAATATTATAACTGTAGAGTTTCTCCTCAGTCTCCCCCTGTACAATAAATAATGAGCAGTCCCTAAAGTGCAAAATTTCCAATATTCGTTGACCAATGACATCATAACACAAAAATACAGGCCACAATTGTCAAGACGGCTTGTTCTGAAGGTCAATCAACATTCGTAGGCCTGTTGCTAGGTAACAAGGTATAATTCATTAAAAACAAAATGGCGGATGAATTTACAACGTAAAAAGAAAATAGCCGTGTTTTCCAGCTTTATCTTGCTGTATTTGAATTAAAAGGAAATTTTGACAGCTTTTGGTGGATCTCAACCCAATAAATTTGATTTATATTGATATCTATTGTCTGTCTTATGGCTCAATAAGAGATATGAAATAGATATGAAATAGATCAATAAAGCACTGAAAGGAGTGAAAGCAGGCTTCAACGAAGTGCTATAACACATGTATTAGCATCGCAAGTGATATACTGTATGATGTGATATGATTATGGTATTAGTAGATAATATATCTGCTAATAAATGGAGTGTTATATGGTACAATATACGACTAGTATCATACGACCAGGAAATTAATTAAAATTACTAGTGTTTTAAGAAACTTTATTTGCGTTTACTTAGTAAATCTTAAATATGGCTGTCGGCTATGCACTTCACTTTAAACAGTAGCACAACTAAATCATTATTTTGGAATTATCAAAATGGCTGAACTAGTGATGGACCCAAACAATGTTTATATTGAGAATGTAAACGAGGAATTACTAAGAGATTCTCTGGAGAGCAGTGTTGAAAGATGTAATAACGTGAGTATTTCTACAATGAGAACAAATGAGACAGATTCACATAAAACCAGTAAGGAACATAGCTATGTATCATCACACAATGACCTTGCCAAGGTCCACAGTGCTGTTGACAAAGAGCCAAAGACTGGTACAAAGAAGCATGTTATGAAGCGAAAGCCAAAGAACATGATTGAATTGAACAAGATGAATATTATTAAGAAAGGTCAAGCAGTAAGTAGCTACAGTAAAATGCACCAGAAAAAGCTTGGCCGGATAGCACCAATAGAAAAGAATGGGAACAGTCAACCTGAGACAAGTGGTCCCAATAATGCAGCTATCGAGTTTCATAAACAACTGGTGTTGGATGGAATCTTGACTGATAAGGATGAATTCAATAATTTTGGAAGCTATGAAAACAATATGGCATTAAGTGGTTTACATACATTAATTGAAAGAGATGAATATAGTTTGGAATCAACTCGATCTAACGAAACTAACATGTCACACTTTGGAAAAGGGTATTTTGTGGAAGCTGAGCCAAGTATGCCTGACAATGGTTATAAATTTGAATTTGTGGATTCAAGGAAAACTAATTTGGCTTTTAGCTCACCTGAGGATGGAAAAATTAGCCATGAACATCAATTACCACCAGTTCGTACTTTTGCTACATCAGTACAGTCAGCCCCAGCAGATATCCAGTACTCGGATCTATCTTATGAAAAATCATTCAGGTCAAGCTCACTTCATGCGTTATTGAAACCTGGTGAAAGTTATGCTGGCCTTAACAATTCTATGACTTCTCTAGCTAGTACAAAGTCTATTGCAGAGCATGGGGATTCTATGACATACAGCGGTATATATGCAAATGGTAAACAGAATTCAAGAAATAATTATAAGCCATACACACTTGGTGATTACAAAAGATTAAAGAAGCAAAGTAAGCCTGGAGGTCTTGGTCCAGACATAAAATCTGAAGAACACCAACAAAAGGTACAGTATTTTGAACAATTGCATGAACCTATACCAGGTGCAATATTGACCATGAGCGGTCTACTGCTCTCCCCTTGATGAGTAAAATCTCTGGTGTACGACAGAGTAAAATAATACCTTCAAGTTCAATGGGATGCATTTAGGGGTGCACCGGATTTGGAATTTTCAAATCCGGCCGGAACCGGATTTACCGGATTTGGACAAAAATTCCGGCCGGAATTCCGGCCGGATTTGAGATAAAACCGGTAATGGGGATAATTGGGGATAAATTGGGATAATTCAGTATTCAAAATGGCGGTTTATGTTTTTTACTATTTTTAGTTAGTGTCAGTTTAGATTTTTGATTGTGTTTAAACCTTTTTTAAATATCTTTTTGTTAATAACTTAATATTTTATAATAATATAAGGGTTTTTTAAACTTTAAAGCTGCCAAATTGATGGTTTATCCCATTCTTGGTGAATTTTTTAAGCTGAAAACAAAAATTTAAATCCGGCCGGATTTTCTCCAAATCCGGCCGGAAGCCGGAAAATTCGTTAAATCCGGCCGGAATTCCGGCCGGATTTGAAATCCGGTGCACCCCTAGATGCATTGCGACGTAATGGGTTAACTAGACACACGGGCAGACAGTCTGATTAACCCATTGAGCGGCAGACTAAAATTCACTCAAAAGTGCCTCAGTCTAATTTTTGGCCTACAAAACTGATTTTGTAGGTTAAGTTGCACCCTAATTATACAGGGATGCATACAAATGCAAACAAACACTTCAGCTAGAGTCTGCTTCAGAATTAGATTTAGATTTTTATAGAGAGTGGCTCCCCCTGATGGAGTGACAGCACTTTTTTGAGAGAAATTATAAGCTAAGGTTCTTAAACAGTTCTTTAACTGTACATTAATTGTGCTTTCAGTTGACAGGATGTTAACTATTTAGCTGAAAAGATAAATAAAATAAAATATTTTCTTTTTTAATTTATGAGCTGGTAAGTAACTATTCACATTAGCCACATGCAATTTCTTCCAAATCTATTGTAAAAAAAATAAATTGAGAAAAGGGTTGATTTACTCACTTAAAGCCCAAGTCACACTTGGCAATTTAATGTGTTTTATATGCCATGAATTCAGCATAATGCTGTAAATGTACCTTTTCAGCTATAATAATTAATGTGTTAACTATTAAGGACTTGATTAACCAATGGCAATGAGCACTGAGCTACAAGACTTTTAGTTGATACCGGTAGCAATGACTGAATGCATTGCACTGATTGGCCATTATATAAACAGGAAGATAGTGGAAGAAGAAAAATAGTGGCTCTGTGGCTTCTGCCTCGCTCCTGTGTGGTGTTTTCAATCCACTCCGGCGTAGTGTGAACGTAGTCTTAGAGTTTAGTTCTTACTGTTAATAACAGTTGAAATATTATTTTTTTATTAAATGCGTCATACGGTGGAATAACATGAATACGGGTTATCCTTACTATGCAAACGACAGTCAGTTAATTTATCTCATGTTATGCCTGAAGTGATGATGACATTATCTTCTATTGTTACACATCTAGGCTAAAAAAGCTATCAGACAAAAAGCGTATTCGGTAGCTGTAAAGCAAAGGAACACCTCTGAAACCTGTCATTCTAGCAAGAAAAAACGCACGGCAACCACCAAAGAAGTTTCTGTTCAAAAACAAGAAGCAAATGCTCGAAGAGAGAAGGTGGGTAAATACGTTTATCAGGGCCGCCCAGGGGGGGGGGGGCAACGGGGCGATTTGCCTCGGGCTGGCGGGGCTAGTTAAAGGGGGCCCCAAAATTTGCAAAAGGGGGGCCTCAAAAGGTGTAATTAAAAAAAATATTTGTTTATATTATGAGTAGAAATGTTTATATTATGAGTAGTATGAGAGAAATCCTTAGTTTAGACTTTAATGTTACTGGTATTGGTCTGAAAAAATGTGTTTTAGCCGTGAATTTACAGGTAAATTCCTGTCCAGACATTTTTTTTAACTTTAATTTTACTGCTGTTTGTACGGAAAAATTTTAAAAAATATATATTTTTTGGATATAGGGGCCCCGAATTAAAATTTTGCCCCGGGTCCCCGAAATTCTCTGTGCGGCCCTGACGTTTATTACTGGCCATTTGCTAGCACGTTTGGCCGATAGACAATTTGTCGCCAGGACGTTAGTTGATAAGTGCATGTGACCGACAGTATACACTGTACGTACCAGAAAACGTTCAAGAAAATCAATATTACTTAAATTCCAGAACTTCAGTAACTTTTAAAAAAATAACGATATTGTCTATCGCCATACAGTACCATGCAGAGATGGAAAAAGTATTGAAACCTGGGAACCTACTAGTTCCCAGGTTAACCCCCCAAATTTTTTAGAATTAACATATTCGGAAAATCGGGTTGGCCATTCGGAAAATTACGGCAATAGTAGTATAACGAAATTTTAGTTGTTAAACAGAGAAAACATAGAATTGTATTGTCAGTATAAACTGATTTACGAAATCATGATATTTACATGGATAACAATTTACAAATCGTCAATCAGTAAATGTTTTTCGGTTTATTACAGTACTTCTGTATTATGTCTATGCGTAAAATGTCCATCTAATAAAAACGGCTTTAATATTTATAATTTATTGCGTCTTCATTTTCCGGATAGCAAACACCTTCGTTGCTTCGTATGCCATGAAAGATTCGGAAATTTTTACCCGACACCCCCAACTATACATGCTAGTTACGGCCCTGCATACCTGTTATATACATTTATGTTATAATTACATATTCCTTGCACTGAAAACACTCAACTTTCAAGAAAAACGTGCTAAAAGTGTCAATATTTCATGCAAAAAAAGTTGTTTTCATATACCGTATATTAATAAAAAACATACTGTATGTCAGCAGAGATGACATATTCCTCGCGGAAGCATCGCCAATAGCCGACCGTAGAAAATAGTAGAAAATTACATTATGCGTACTATAATAACAAAATATGGATAACTATGTGTGACCTTTCTAAGGATGGTGGTGGGGTGGGGTGAGGGGTCTCCAGAGAAACGTCCATATGACGTTTCTCATGAACAAAATCGATATGTGAGGCTTCCCTTATTATATCAGTCTTAAAGACATATTGCTTCACACAACAACACATCTTAATGAATATAATCCATGTAAGGTGTTATTTTTCTTTATATATTGTAATTGTTTGTAGAACATTTTGAGCTCTGAACCCAGGTTCCCAGAAAGAAAAAATTCCACCTCTGCGCCATACGTACGTTACCTACGTAATTGTCAAGTAAATAACATAAAAAAACAGGTTCTAGACTATACACGGCAAGGCGGGATTTTGGTGGAAATATTGGGGGAGGTGGAAAAAATTAGGGGACGTTCTGGTTAGGGGAGGTTCTTAGGGCCTAGAAAAAATTAGGGGAGGTTCTTAGGGCTTAGAACGGGTCAAAGTCACATAGTGTACATATTTATCAGTGTATAATGAATTATGACTGTACAACTCATCCAATTTTCGCCTTCATTGCAATTACTACAAAGTTTCTTTGAAAACAGTGCATTAAAAAGGTACTTGACACAGAGATGGATGGCTATCACTGTTTCAATTTTACAGAAAAACTTTCTTACGAAGTGTAGACCCTATAAGCAACTAAAAAATGTCAAATTTTCACTTTGATCTATCATTGAAAGTTTTGAAACATTCCCAAGGGGAGGTGCACGACTTTTCAGGGGAGGTGCAAAAATTCTCAGGGGAGGTGCAAAACGATCTCAGGGGAGGTGCAAAACGATCTCAGGGGAGGTGCAAAACGATCTCAGGGGAGGTGCGCACCTCCACACACCTCCCCTTAAATCTGGCCATGATACAGGGTGCAGGTGTATAAAAAGTTAATCCAACATTGACATGTCGTGATATCGTGCGTTAAGCCCCGTTTACACGAGCAAATTTTATTTGATAAATTTCATATGTCAAAGATATTTTGCTCGTGTGGATGATGCATTTGTGACAAATTTATTGTGACAAATGCATTTGAACAAAAGCTAGCATGCTAGCTTTTGATCAAATGCATTTGTCATATGAAATTTGTCAAATAAAATTTGCTCGTGTAAACGGGGCTTTAGGCAATCGAGTGCCAATATATACCAAATGTCAAAGAAAACAAAAAACCCAGCACACCTGGCAGGCAATTAACGCAAGCCGGAAAATCAATGATGGCTATAAAATATATCGTAAACCTCCGAATATACGCCCTGGGCTTATATTCGTTCGTAGACTTATAGATGGCGGGGGAGAGGGCTTATATATACGGACGACATTTGGTGTTAGTAATGTTTATTGTACTGCTAAACTATATGGTGATTAAAAAGAAATACCAACATACAGTACTGATAACACATAATAAAACAAGTGGGTTAACATATTATAATATTGTAATGTAATTGTCGTCACTCGTCTGAGCAGGTTGTCCAATTATTAGTCCATGGGCTTGTACACAGGGGGGGGGCTTATATTCGGGTGGGCTTATATTCGGTCACGTCAGGTTTACGAATTACGGTATAATAATAATTTTTAATGATGATGATACACGATTATTCGTTTTTAAGGCATTGGAATATGCGAAAACAATACCAAAACCCATAACATCAAAAAACCAAAATGTGTGGAAAGTGCCGTCTAAAGCTGAAGAGGAACCGCAGACATTGCTGGCTATTTTACAACAACGACATGAGAACGAGAAAAAAGCGGTGGATGACATGAGGAAGGATTTGCAAGCCAAGCTCACAACAAGATAACGACGACTATTGTTCTAATATATCTTCGGGTTGGAGTAGCTTGGTAATCAGTAAAAGTTGTCAGAAAAGATATTTTTTGAAATTGTTGTCAATGAGTGACTTTGAGGGACAAGGAACCGTGCAACCTATACCAAAGTCTATATCCCTATGATTCCTAGTGTCCCAGCCTTGATATTAAAGGTAGATGGTAGGGCGATGAAATTAGATAAGACATGCGCGTCTTCCCAAGCAGGCCTCGAATTTCCCTGAAATCAATCGACGGCAATGGCGTTAAATATTGCCGTAGAACGTAACAGCTGTCTACGGCAATTTTGACAGTTTCCACAGCATTTTTCAAATTACTGTAATAAAACTTTAATTTTGTTGTTACTTTGGATTTTTGACAAGCTAGAAACATGTCTACGTATATTTCTTTAATGATTTTTTTTTTGAAGAAAACTGAGACTAAAATAGTGATTTATACGCATGATTTGATCAACTTCTGAATTCAAGTATCAAAATAGTAAAGCAGAGTGAATAGTATAAAAATTGCACTATACGGCAAAAAATTACCGTCGTTAACTGCCGCAATGATCCACGGCTTTTTGTTCTCCCTCTACGGCAATTGCCGCGATTGCCGCGATAAAATTCGAGCCCTGCGAACCAAGGTCTGCCGGCGCACATGCAAGTGAATGATGACTTCACGTGGAAATTCAGTTTAGTCTGCTGACGTCGTACATTTGCATTACATTTTCAACGAATCATTCGTGTATAAACAGACATTTCTCTGAATCTGATAAACACCTCAAACAAACACGCCCGAAAAACAGCTCTCCCTTTTGCAGATATAATAGGGACCTTTATAGCATGTATGACAGCAACGCGACGACGACGGGCAATTCAAATAACGTTAAGGAGAACTTGTCGTGTATATTATCCGTTGTATGAAATGAAATCAATGCAGTTTTAGGAGATTAAGACACTTTTGGAAGCTTGAAACGCAAGCGTTTGTATATATTATATAAGACGTGTACAAGTAACAATCTTTGTTTTGCTGTTGCATAAACATTCCTATAGGACTAATTATTCAGTTCTTTCCTACACTATCATAAATTTCAGTGTATCTATGCCGTCGTCGCCCATTCTCATACCCAGAGCCCTCACGAGCCGTCCACGAAACGCGACGAGGGGCTCTGGCGAAAAGCATATCATTGACATTGTGACATCTGAATCGCTAGAACGAACGCAATTGTTCTAATTTGACGGCGCGTAGTGAAGGCTGGGGGTACGAGAATGCTAAAGGTCCTTATTTTCATGACGAACCGCGGCAACAATTTTTTCCATAGACGTATTTAACGACAGGAAAAGTAAGAATCAAAGTAATAATCATCCGAGTCGTCACAGAAATTTATTAATGTCAAATAAGTTAATGATATACATACTGTATAGCTGTATTTACGCACTGTATAATAAAATGTTGGACTATCTAGAAATATCACGGCAATAGTAATCACAATAGTTTGTAACATGCAAGGTATCCAGTTTAGGCCGCGAGCTTCAATGCTAGTTTTGACGTAAACTTTCATCATCATTTGGAAACTACCACGATCAATGTTGCCGTGGATCTAAACGAAACAAACTTCGTTAAACACGTACTCATGTAATGTATACACGTTATACGCAGGTCTTTTAGCGACTACAGTGTTTCAGAAAGCTCAACTCGGAATAATCAAGCGAAGGCGAACAGATCGTGAAAATGGCGTGTGTTCCACCAGGCTTGAGATCAATTTCGAAAGACAACGAACGTTGCGCTGAAATAACGCACACTTGCGCTCAATGTAGAGGTTCAGATTTGACTTCCGCTACTGCTACCATTAAGGGACCATCAACCAATCAGGTGCGTACTAAGTCAGTTGGACCTAGAGCGGAACTCAAATCTGAACCTCTATAATATACTACGCAAGGCGTAATCGAATAAATTGGACGTCAGAACTTTTCGGTCCCTTTTCTATTGTTTTGTTTGCGCAGTCAACACGAAGCTGCAAGGAGTGTGTCGAGTTCTCGTATTTGACCTCGATTTAAAGAACAATACTCTTGTATGGTTTAATAACCTGATAACCTGTTTAGCGATACGGTCCGTTAGAAATAAACAACTACTGTAGATTAATTTAGCTTGGGAAAAATCGGTATTAAACTGTTTACGTCCTTCATAAATTTGTTATAGCTTCTCACGTTTCTCATAGGCCGAATGACTGAAGTAGACTCCAGATATATTGTATATAAAGCTAACTGGAGTGTGCATGGATGTATGGTCCAAGAAAAACATTGTTGAAACAAGGACCGAAGCACGTATATTTGATAAGTAAACGAGAAAGCTCAAAAAGGAATAAAATAAATTCTGAAATTTCACTGAAATACTTTTGCCTGAAACACTTCAGATTGATTGAAAGATTTCACTGAAATACTTTCTTTCTTTTTTTTTCTTCTTGTTTGAAATTCCTTAAAATTCCCTTGCCGGAGCAGGAGCTGGAGTTCTGACTGCCGGAGCTAAGATAACTGGAGTTTGCACAGTTAATAATAATAATAATAATAATGTTCTTATGCGCATTTAAAAATCTCAATGCGCTTACAATGGCTTAAAACTATTTAAATTTACTGAAATAGTTTATATTTACATTATATATTAGTTAAAATTGAAACTTATATTACAGATAAAATAGATTTAGTGGAACAAAGTATTTTCGTATATAATATATTAGATATAATGTTAGCAAGCATATGCCTCCTTAAACAAATAAGTCTTCAAAAAAGATTTAAATTCTAAAATAGACTCAGCGGATTTAGTGTATTCTGGCAAAGAGTTCCAAAGTTCCGGGGCAGCATGAGAAAAAGCACGTCAGGTCCCAGAAACAAAAGTATCATTTCCTGCTATGGCAAACAGATAAGAGGTGCGCCCAAAATAAGACAAATATAAATCATATATGACAAGCAAACTTTCCAAGGTATTCAAATGTCCGTTAATCCGACATGTTCTGGCATGAAGTATGATTGGACTGATAGTATGAGACGAGATCGACTGAGTATAAGGAATGTTGGAGTCAATTGCATGTGTTTGTACACGCAACTGAGCTTTCTGGTTATTGAAACACAACTGTGCTTTATGTACTTTACCGCGTTAAGAGTAAGTACAATAGACTTTGAGTCTCAAATGGCGTGGGGAGGGGGGAAAGTAGCGCCTCTACTGCTCTTTCTTATGAGAGGTAATTGGGGGGAAAGTAACTACAAACATGGCACAGAAACGTCATTAAGAGTTTCCGGAATTTTGAAGAATGCTTGAAAAAAACTGGATAGACAGTCCAAATCGAGATAAAGGGAAATTTATGCAATCGAAAATGACCGAACGGTACTTCATAAAAGGTTAGTAGAAGCTAGCGACCAGTGGCGGAAATCTGGTGGGGCGGAAAATGACGAAAAGTGAATTTCCGCCACTGCAAGCGACGTCCGGATCGAAATCTATAGCTAGTGTCAGCCAAAATAAGGTACCAAACAGACATGTGTAAAGTCCTTAGTATTTCGTTCGCCAAAACTTGGCTTTGCTTAAATTAATTACTTCCGAGTCTCGGTTTGATCCGAAATCATTCTCGATCGATTATATCAATTTCACCTCATCTTCCACACTAGCGCCCAATTAGATCGATCTGAAATCAATGGAGAGCCGCATCAGGCCGAGCTGTGTGAACAGCCTGAAATGAGTTGACCCTGATTCATGATATAGCTCAATTCGTGCTTAGCATGCAGCCTTCCATCCACCGAGTGAATTATGGTGGCATTTGAATAATTCATCAGTGCGGAATCCTAAGGAAACATGAAAAGTGTGCCGGTGTCACAGGAGATTCGTCCCCCCAGGAGATTCGCCCCCCTCTCAAAAGGGGGGGGGCGATATTCCTTAGGATATTCGCCCCCCCCCCCCGGGGCGAATCTCCTAGGAATATCGCCCTCCATGGGGGCGAATCTCCTAGGAATATCGCCCCCTTTAGGAATTTCGCCCCCCCC